TTACCTCGAGGATAAAAATAGTCTAAGGATTATAGTCCTATAGTCGATAGCGAATAGATCTGGGTCTGTGACCCAGTAAAATTAATACTAGGGTTATATCAGAGGGTTTAAATGAAACACCTAAGCAGGGGTGTTAGGTATAGCAACTGGTAGGGAACCCTTGGGCAGACTTCTTAAATAGGTAATATAGAAAAGTTACATATGTAGCCAGTTGTACACTCGTCTAATAAGTTCATTATAGATATGTCTATATAAAACATGTACCTAATATAAGTATTAATAAAAAGCTCAGATCAAAGAAGTCACTTTAATACTGAAAAAAAAAAAAAAAAAAAAAAACATCTGTTCTAAAGGATTCAGGATATAATTTACAGAATAAAGAAGAAAAAAAATTATCTATTTCTTAAAAACTTGATTATTAAACTGAATTAACTTTTTATTTAGGAGAATTTAAAGGGTTTATATATTTGTGGATTAAGTGACTAAACAACTAAAGGACTAAGCAACCAGTTTTACTAAAGAACTAAGTAATTAGTATCACAAGCTTAAGATATTAAAATGTTTAAAACATTAAAATAACTATAACTAATAAATAATATAATAATAGAAATAATAATATACTAAGATAATAATAGTAATATAATTATAATAAAAATTTATTTTATTATTTTTTTTTTTTGGTATTAAGGTGACCTCTTTGGTCTTTTGATTTTTATTAATTATTTATTAGTATTGTGGTTCAATGAACTACTACAGAAGAACGTACAATTGGCTACACATGTAATTTTTCTATATTACCTATTTAAGGAGTCTGGCTAAAGGTTTTCTATCAATTGCCATACCTAACACCTCTGCTTGGGTGTTCTACTTTAAACTCTCTGAACCTGTAACCTGTATTAATATCACTAGTCATCTCAGATGTACCAGATCATCATCCTCAATTTAGGATTAATTTATCCTTAAGGTAAACTCCTCAGAGCCTTTTGTATCAATTTTTATAGCTAATCTAGATATCGCTATAACAGAACTAACACTTGCAGTCAGGGCTAATCATTAAAGTGCTATGCCCTTGTAGAGTTCACTTAGACCCCAGCATCTACTTCACAGCATAATCCTGATACTTTAGTATACCCTTGCCCTTTTACCAAACTCCCAATCCAGAAATTCATTTTATAACAATATATAAAACAAATTGTTGCTAATAAACTAGAAGTATATAAAAAACTAAAATATAATTAACTTTTTTGGTAATTTGTATTAAAGTTAAACCTTTTTGCAAATGGACTTTTTAATATATTTAGTATTCAAACCAGAAGAATATTTTAGAACAATAGAGAAAAACTCTGATTAAAAGTTATTAAAAACTTAAAAACAGAACAAACAGCTAGAAACATTTTTTTAGTTTATTTTTTATATATCATACTTGTTAATCTTTTTTATCTATTTCAAAAGTAGAAAATTTGGTTCTCTTTTTACAAAAGATCAATATTATTTATCATTTTCTTTTTCAGACAATTATATGTTGTAATATTATGTAATAAAAACATAACAATTATATATATAGCCTAACATATAATGTAATAAAGAAATAAAAAAAGATTTAAGTTGAAGGATTATAACAAATTAGAGATATATATAATTCCTAGAATTATATATATAGAATTTTTATCTCTTTAATACAAGTTAAAATATAGTTAGATTTTTAATATAGGTTTAAAATATTAGTAACCTTACTGAAATAGTTATAAATAAGATGTGGTTTTTGATACTTATTTTTTTATTTTTTTTCTTCCTGTATTCCTTTTTAGTTTAATTTAATTTAGTTTTTTTTCTTTTTTTTATTTTTCTATAAGAAAGTGTTATTAGTTTAGTAATATTTTATTATAGAGCAGTGGTCGAGAATAACTTTTTAGGTAGTTTTGTTACTGCCTAGTGTAGTAGGTTGCTTTTGGCATTTAAAGAAGCAGTTAAAAAAGTTGAATCTTTAAAATTAAATATGTAATATTTGCATTAGTGTTTATATTTTCTTAATAAAAGTACATCAGTACAACTACCTAAGTGAAAAAAAATTTTATAATATATTTTTTAAAAGTATAATAACTTAGTAAAATAAATAAGTATTATTTATTTAAATAATAAGTTAAGAATTTAAAATCTACTAATAGTAAAAATTTAAATAATTACCTGTATTATAGTAACTAGTTTTGTTAATTAGTTAGAATAAGATATCTATAACTATAATTATATTAATATAACTAATAGATTATAAGACAATTATGTAATCTTAGTTATATAAAAAAATACAAACTGTTATTAAATAATGCAAACTTAAAATAAATTTTCATAATTATAAAAAAAAACAAAAATTCATTTAAGAAAACTTAAATAATAAAATATTTTTAATAATATTATTATAAAAACTAAATCTAGACCTGCGGGTCAATAGTGCAGTGGTTAGCACTCCCAGGTCGCATTCACAAGGTTGCCAGTTCAATTCCAACTGGGAGAAAAAGTTGTGCTAAAACCATGATTGTTATGATCTTAAGAGAATTTCTCATCTCTACTTCTGGACAAGAATATTACAAAAATGAATGATCTATGGGGATGGTCTACTACCAATTTCGAACAAAGTACTACAGCAAAAACAAGTCGAGTAACATAGCCACAGGGTTACACGATGCCCAGATAAGAAGATAATCTGACAAGAAATATTGATAACATAAGGATCCCAGATTAGAAAATTACCGTAAAAGGCAATAAAGATAAGGAGATGGAACCTAGAAGGACCATTGTTGATAGGGAACTGCGGACTCGAGTAAGGGGTCCTACATCATGAGGCCAGAAACCCGGGTTATCACAATAGTGATAAACTTGTTAATAATGTGATATGATAAAACTAGGGAACACCACTGGTGATGTACGTAGCAACTAAATATATAAACCTGTAGGTTCCAAACATTAAAGTTAATAAAGAAAATTAGAGCACCACACATGCCCCACGATGTAAAGCATCGGGGATAGTTAAAAAAAAAAAACTAAATCTAAAAAACAAATATCAATATAAAAAAATTAGGTAGATAAAAATTTTAAATAAAGAAAATACTAATCAAGTTATTGAAATTCAAACTAAAGAAAAAGAATATTTAAAATACTAAAAAAAAATTATATATAATTCTACTAAATTATTTGAATTAAGAATTTGAAATTAAAATAAATATATTATATATTAAAATACTAAGAATATGTTATAAAATTGATACTAAGTTTTAAGTAAATTTTACTCTATTAATAATCTATAAAATGAGTAGATTAGTTAATAAAAAGATACTTAGAACCTTATAGTCAGATGACATACTCTGAAACAGGTAATAGTTTAATAGATATATATAGAAGAAAAACTAAATGTTAAGTTAAATAACACTTAAATGTATGAAAACCAGATACTATTTTCCTGGTACGATATAAGGACTAAAGAATTTAAATAGGTAATCTTCTAGTAAATTACAAATAAATATATAATGTATAATTAAAATTATATACATAACCACCATAAACATCGGCCTTAGCAAAAGCAAAAAAAAAACATACATGTATATATATATATTCTTTTAATTCCTGCTAATTTCCCAACCGTTTTTTGCAATCTGATTGACCAATGTACAGGTGACTTGCAAAATTTACAATATTATTGGTTGATATTCGTGCATAACTATATTAGAAGTAATTTTCATATTTGGAATGGTTTCCCTGGAACATTTAACATCTCCAATTTATATAGACCGTTAATAAAAGTTTGCGATAGTAATTATGATACAATTGTAATTAAAAAGATCGGTAAATGAACAAATGTAATTATATAAAGCGTGACTGTAAAGAGGTCCGATTATATATATATTAACTAAATCCTAGATTTTAAATTATCTAATTATGTAATTGGTTTTTAAACTTAATCTTCAATTATTAAAATTTATTATCAATATAACAAAGAATTTTTTTGTTGTAACACCAATTAATAATTATTAATAACAAATATGATAATTTTGGGGATAGTTGCGTACAATGAATGCATTGTTTACTAAATAATCATTGCATCATTTCTTAAAATGTATGTATTATACAAAAAAAAAGAGATTTTTCATTTACCGTTACGAGTTTACTTATTCGTTACAAAAAGACAACCACATAAAAAGAATTAAATTACCTCGTTTTAATTCAGAATACATAGCGATAGCTATTTATTCACTTGATAGCTATCTTATTTTCCCTGGTAGTTTTTTTTTTTTTTTTTGTAATTTAGGATATTCATATTCGCCACCAGTTGCTGGGTTCGCTGCAATTCGTCATTTTAATTCATCTCTAGTGCATAACCGATTTATACAAGCTTAGTGTATCAGGTATGACATTACGTACGTACGTATTGTATTGTTGCTGTGCAGATACATAGTGTAACAGTCCCGTGAGGATTTGATGTAAATCATTTCAATGTTACATTTTTTTTCAAAGATACGTACGTATAAATGAGTTCGGTACCAGATCAGCATTAGACCAAACCGATTTTCGTTGATCTTTCAACTTTTCATGAACTATTCTTATACGAAATATTTTTATTTTATTTTATTTTATTTTATTTTATTTTATCATTATTATATCATTATTATTATTAAATATAAAACTTGTATTATTTCTTTATTTCAATATCTTGTTGTATGCTGGTTTGTTCCAAGTAATTGTTTTTTTTTTTCGAACACAACTTTTTTGTCTTATCTCTTCCAAAAATTGGTCATATGAAGAACCTTATTTTTTTATCAGTTATATCCTTAATCCTGTTGGTATTGGTTGCATCTGGTTTAGCATCCGATATCCATCAAGAAGGATATTGTGTTATGCGAGGCCAGTGTGGCTCAAAACAACCTTTCGGTAAACAATTAAATTGCCCCTACAATAAACCGGCTGAAGAGGTAAATGACTCTATATATTTGTGTTACTATCAGAATGCAAGGGGCAAAGTGGCTTATTGGAATTCTAAAGTTATTTCGTAAGCTACTTTCATGTGTACCACGATTTGTGTGACCATTAAAAGTTACCTTTCCTGAATATTTCTATACTCACAATTTTTTTGTGCATTGTATTATTTCATAATTTAAGCCGGATGAAGGTTTGAGGTTAAAACTTGTTGAAATTTGTGGATCACAATTTGAAAACTCCTTAACATGTTGTGATGCGGATCAATTGGATGATCTTAGGGAAAGTACAAAACAGGCAGAGACATTGATTAGTGCTTGTCCCGCGTGTTGGAAGAATTTTCTCGGTTTTTTCTGCACCTTTACATGTTCACCAAATCAATCTACTTTCGTTAATGTGACATCAGTTGGTAATTCTGTAACCGACGCTGAAATCGTGACAAGTGTAGATTTCTTTGTGGGTGAAAATTATGGAAAAGGTTTTTTTGATTCCTGCAAAGATATCAAATTTGCCGCAACAAATGGATATGTTATGGATTTCATTGGTGGTGGAGCAAAAAATTATCATGATATGTTGATTTACTTGGGTATGGAGCGTCCAATGATCGGCTCACCTTTTCAGATTAATTTTCCACTCACTGATCCATTAAAGGAGATGACCCCTTTTGATGAGCCGGCGATACGATGTAATGACACAGATGTCAATTATCGTTGTTCTTGCATGGATTGCCAATCAGTTTGTCCTATTTTGGAACCAACACCGGAAGAAAATCCTCCGTGTCGTGTCGGTTCTATTAACTGTTGGTCATTTAGTCTATACCTATGTTATATAATTATAATATTGGGTGTTTTTGCAGTATGTTGTGTTATTGATCCCAATTATGATGCTATTGGGTATGACCGTGTTCCTTTAACTAGCATAGAGGTTAGAGTGCCTGATGTACGACCTTCATCCAAACGTTATTGGCTTAACGGATTACTACAAGAATATTTCTATCAACAAGGTTTCATTTGTGCAAGGCATCCTTGGTATACCATTATCTTTGCTGGGATTTTCGTATTGATAGCCTCATCAGGCTGGGCCTGTTTTGCTGTGGAAACTGATCCTGTACGACTTTGGGTTGCTCCAAATTCTGATTCAGCAATTCATAAAGAATATTTTGATCAAAATTTTGGTCCTTTTTATCGAACTCAACAAATTTTTATTACGAATAAAGATGAAACGCAAAGTATCATAACTTATGAAAATCTCAGGAAGTTATTCATAATAGAGAAACAAATTCGTGAACTCAAATCGACCCCTCACAATTATACTCTACAGGATTTATGTTTTCATCCCAATGGTGATGCGTGTATTGTTCAATCGGTCGCGGGTTATTGGCAATCTAACATTGACAATTTTAAAGAGGAAACTTGGGAAGATGAATTTAGTACTTGCACTTCTGCTCCTTCATTTTGTTTACCCGATTTTCAACAACCATTAAAACCTGATATGATTCTTGGAGGTTTCGACGATTCAAATTATAAACAAGCAAAGGCTTTGGTGCTTACCTTTGTTTTGAATAATTATTTGGAAAAGGATAAAACAAAAATGGCTGAAGAATGGGAAAAAAAATTGAGAAAATATTTACACGAAGTCATTGAAGGTAAAAATGATGATGTCGACGTTACTAATATTAAAATAAGCTTTTCAACAGAAGTACGTAAACATTCTTTCTATATTTTAAATTTTATTTATTATCGTCTAACTTATTAATTTATCCATAAACGGTTTAAACGTAAAAAATTTATTCATCAGAGTTCTTTAGAACTTGAATTAAATAAATCGTCAAACACCGATATTTTTACTATCATACTTTCGTATTTGGTCATGTTTCTATATGTATCTGTGGCTTTGGGTAATAAATCAACTCTCCCACGCATTATTATTGACTCAAAATTCATGCTAGGCATTTGTGGTATATTCATAGTTTTGGCATCAGTTTCAACTTCGGTTGGAATTTTCTCATTCCTTGGAATCAAGGTGACACTTATTATCGCTGAAGTCATTCCGTTTCTTGTACTAGCCGTGGGAGTAGATAATATTTTTATTCTTAACCATGAATTCGAGAGATTAACTTTAAGATCAGGTGGTGGAGAGTCTGTTGAAGAGCGTATCGCAAAAACTTTAGGTCGAATGGGGCCAAGTGTACTTCTTAGTGCATTGTGTGAAACTATTGCATTCGGTTTGGGTGGCATAGTTACAATGCCAGCTGTACGAAATTTTGCTCTTTATGCTGCTTTAGCTGTATGGGTAGATTATTTATTACAAGTAACAGTGTTCATAGCGTTCCTATCCTTAGATGCTAAACGACAGGAGGATGATAGGATGGATTGCTTTCCGTGTATTAAAATTGAACATGCACCAGAAAGAATAGATAGAGAAGGTACACTTCAAAAATGGATGAGAAAGTATTATGCACCGTTCATATTACATAAAAATGTTAAGATCACAATAATAACATTATTTGTTGGTATATTTATGGTTGGACTAAGTTTGGTACCTCAAGTTGAGTTAGGACTCGGTAAGTTTAAAAAAAATAAACCAACAACTAAGAATGGTTTGATCATATTCGATTATTAATTATTTTAATTATTTGATATTCATAGATCAACGGATTGCATTACCTAGCGATTCATATCTTATTGATTATTTCGATGATTTGGATAATTATTTCCGTGTCGGCCCACCCGTTTATTTTGTTGCCAAAGATGTAAACGTTACAAAAAATGAAGGTCAACGAGCTTTATGTGGACGTTTTAGTACATGCGAACAATTTTCGTTGTCTAATATCTTAGAGCAAGAACGCAAAAGACCACATGTATCATATATAGCGGAGCCTACAGCGTCATGGATTGATGATTTCTTGCATTGGCTTAACCCATCGCTTGAAATGTGTTGCCGATACAAAAAGGAAAATCCTGTTGAAATGTGTGATATATATGATGACGAAGATGATTGTCAGGTTTGTTTTGAAGATCGAGAGCCTAAATGGAATATTACAATGAAGGGTCTACCAGAAGGGAGTGAATTTCTATATTATATGAATCTTTGGAAAAATTCACCACCTGATGAATCATGTCCATTAGCAGGCAAAGCAGCATACGGAGATGCAATAGTTTCAAGCCCAGAAACTAATACAGTAGTAGCGAGTCATTTCCGTACATTCCATACGCCTCTTAAGAGTCAACAAGATTACATATCAGCGTATCATGCAGCACACCGTATTAGTAAATTAATTAAAAAGAAAAACCCAACAGTAGATGTATTTCCCTACTCAGTGTTTTATATATTTTTCGAACAATACGAACACATCGTAGGATTAGCGGCAGAAATATTTGTATATGCATTTATATCAATATGGGTAGTAACAGCATTATTGTTAGGTAGCGTATGGACAGGATTGATAGTAGTAGGACATGTGATAATGATAGTTGTAAGTGTGCTCGGAATGATGGCAATATGGGGTGTATCATTAAATGCGGTAAGCTTGGTAAATTTAGTAATATGTGTAGGAATAGGTGTAGAATTTTGTGTACATGTAGTAAGAGCATTTGTAGTAGGAGGTGAAGGGGTAGATAGAAATGAGAGAGCTTACGGAGCGATAGTAGATGTAGGAAGTTCAGTATTTTCGGGCATTACATTAACAAAATTTTGGGGAATATTAGTATTGGCGTTTACTAGGAGCAAAATATTTGAAGTATATTATTTTAGAATGTATGTTAGTATGGTTATAGCAGGAGCATTACATGGGTTAGTATTATTACCAGTGGTGTTAAGTTTAATTGGAGGTGAAGGTGTTGGGGTAGGAGAAGATTTTGATTATGATGTTGTTGATGAGGTACTTGGAGGAAGACCTATCAGAAGATCAGATAACAGAATGTTTGTAGATGATGGAGGAATTGAAAGTGGAGATAGTGATACTGAATTGTAAAGATCTTTCAATGTAAAAATTGAAGAAATTCTTTATGTATTACAAGCTATAAAAAAATCATTTGAATTTATAAATGTAAATTTAATCAGCAAATTTTACAAATAAAAACATTAATTTGTGATTTTAATCAATTAATGAGAGAAATGCTGGATGTATAAATATACATGTGCTGAAATTATTTTTTAAAAAAACTATTTTCGGCATTGCTAAATTTTTTATATGAAACCCACTAAAATAACTATGCTATATGATGTATTTTGATAAAAAAAATTTCGGCAATAATTTCAGCAAATATGAAAATCAATTTCGGCTGCCGAAATGCTGTAATTACTTTTATTAAGATGGACAATTTCGGCACACATGTATATGTAGAAAATATTTCTAATGCTTGGAATTTTATCAAAAAATTATTTTGTATATAAAATTATGAGTGCCGTTAAGAGAAAACATGTTATCGTATTTTTAATTAGATTTTTCATCCAGTTTGTTCTCTGAGTGCCGTTCAGGGAAATCTATCATTGGGTTTTCAATTGTCACGTCACTCCGGTTATATCGACATTTATGAGACATTAGTAAAAATTTTCAAAATGTCGATATACTGTCATTTTAAATTAACATTTTGAAAAAAAATGTCGGTATAAAATATTTTGCTATGATTTCGTTATAACCGGAGTGACTTGTATTTGTAAGCTTTTCATTATACATGTCGTAGAACCATTTCGGCGTTGTTGAAGTATTTCTGCATTGATTTTAATATAAATTTTTGAGTTATTTCTGCAATAACTGATATTTCATAGAAATCCGGGTTTTCTCTTATATAGGTAGATATGCGTGAGTAAAGCTTACGGTGAATTTCACGTGATATTTGATTAAAACTAGATGAGATATCACTTATTAAAGTTTATCTCAAAAATATATTACTGATTTTATGCTGTGTTTAATTTGTGGGATTGGCTTTTTGACCAAAAAGCATGTTCCTTATTATAGGATTGATCAATTTAATAATTAATTAATAATTTTTTTTTTACCTTAAGTAGTTTTGTTAATACTTTATTAGAGTTCTTGAAACTATACAAATTACATAGAACTTTTTTAATACTTAAATTTAGCTTCATCTAGTTACCTTATTGGTATCTAAGTGCAATCTGTTACATTACCTAAAACAGAGGTAGACTGTCTGATTACTGCTCTACAATAAAATATTACCAATCTAATGATGTTTTTTTATAGAAAGATAAAAAAAAAACAAAAAAAAACATTATATATAAAAAAAGTATAAAGGTATAAGAATAAATAATGAAAGATACAAAACAAGAAATAAAAAAGAAAATGAGATAAATGAAAAAAGAAAAAATGTAAAATTTGTAATTTACAAAAAATCAAACAATCATAATTTTAAGTTTGTATCAGACATAAAACTTGTAATTTACAGATATCAAACAATTACAATTATAAGTTTGTATTAGACTTTTAAATATTATAAACTATACTAAATAGAAATTATTTTACATTTTTCTATTTACTTAGATTATTTAACAAAAAACTATAAAGAGGTATAATGACCTAGTGAAGTGGTTAGGTTGTTAATTCTTAAGTAACAGGTCTAGAGTTTAAATTCCAATGTCAATAAAAATTTGAAATTCTTTTTGTATTATAATTAATTGTCTTCTGCTATTGGTTAAGATCAAATATCTGTTACCTATATTATATTAGCCTAACTAGAAGATCACATGGTATTTGTACAATAGTTGTACCTTGTATAAAGGAATACAAACTAGTACTGGACAATATGAACTTATAATAAGTCTTTGTAGTTATATAAAACATAAAAACTAGAAAAATAAAAGACCCAAATAGAGAAGTAACTCAAACTTTTAATGATGTTATTGTAAAGATTAGATCTATAAAATAAAATTAAAATTTGTAAAGTCAAGTAAAGAGCTGACCTTTGGAAAAAGACTAAATGAAATCAACCAAATTACTAGAATTTATTTTAGAAAAAAAAAGATTACATATTAAAGAACATATAAACCAAAAATATATAGTTATAATCTGTCTTTTTGGCCTATTTGATCTAAAAACTTGGTAGAACTTGAATTAAATACCAAAGTAATAAAAATATATTATGAAGTCAGTATCAGATTTGGGATGAACTCTATAAGAGCATATTAGTTTAATAGTATATTCTAACTGCAAGTATTAGTCTTGGCTATAATATTACTAAGTTAGCTATAGGAATGGGATACAGAAGATTTCAGAAGATTTAGTATAAGATCAAAGGTTTCTTATATAAATAAACTGTTTTAAAGATTTAGTAATTATAATATATCTTTATTGGTATCAACCAGGATCATTAGTAGGCAAAGGTAGATAGATGAATATAGAAACTAAATATTTAAATAGGGAACTTACAAATAAGTTTCAAATATGATAGTTAGTATAGAATCTTTGGATAGACTACTTAAATTAGATAATAACTAAAGTTGTATGAATGACTAGTTGTATACTTTTTTATAATTGTCTTCTGTAGTTGTTATATAACTATTAGCCAAAAATACTATTAATAAAATACTGAGTTATAAGTATTTATCTTAATATTTTTTTTAAAAAAAAAACTATAAAAAAATAAAAAACTTTAACTAAGTTAACATAGGATACTAGTTAGTCTAAAAATAGTATTTAACAGATTTCTAGTAACTCAAGACATATGTATAGTTATGTTTGTATTACTATATTATTTTTAATCTATGTTATTAATAATTCCATTTAAAAAATAAATACTACTAACTATTTTGATAATTTTATTTATCAATTTTTAGGAAAAATAAATTAAATTATTCATTTTTATAAAATTTTTTTTTTAAAAAAATAGAGATGTTAGGTAAACAAACTTTTTATCTTCTATAAGTTCTTAATTCTTGTAAGTGTTTCTTGTAGATTTTACAGTTATATAGAATTAATATATTCAACTTTGTTGTTTATTTAATAAAAAACTTTGGTTTTTATTGATTATTTCTTTTATAGTCTTAAAGCATATTTAAACTATTATTACAAAATTGTAACTTTTTTTTTAAATTTATTTCAATGTCCAATTATGTATATACAGTATTTCAAAAAAGTTTTTATAAAGTTTAATATATTAACTATATGATTTTTTTATAGTTTGGCTTTTTAGAAAGTTTGGTTTAAATGATTATTAGAAAGAGTTTTGTAATAATTAATTAATATTAAAATTAAAGTTTATTATTATAATCAGTGTTGTCAATAGACAAATATAGACAGATGTGTAAACAAATGTATAGACAATATATGAACATGTTACATAAAAAAGAAATGTTAATAGCTCAAAAGTTTATTATAATAGCTTAATTTTATATATTAAGTAAAAATGTTTATTATTAAATTTTATATATAATTATATATTTTTAATAATATATATTAAGCAGTAAGATATATAAACATTATGAACATCTGTAAATATGAACATGGACTGAACATGAACATAAACAATCAAAAAAATCCATGAATATAGTAAATGTGATAATACTAATTATAATAGTACTATATAATTTATATATCTATAGAAACATATTTAAAATATGCTTTTTGCAAAAACAGGTTTCTCAAATTTGATTTAAAAATTTATTGTATTTTTAACTCTACTAATTTAATATTTTTAAACTATTTATCAAATTATATAATTTTAATATTATTTAATTTATTTTTGATAAAATTAAATAATATATTAAAATTATATAATTATATATATTTTTTAAAATTAAAATAGGTTTTGTTTATATCTTTATTAATTTATTAAAAAAATCTTCAAATTTTTTCTAAATATAAATTACAAAACTTATTTCAATTATAAATATAGTTAATACTATTTAAATACATATTGTATACTATTTAAATACATAATTTTTTAAAAAATTTAATAATAATATATATTTAAACAATTAGTTTTTGAAAATTTGATTGGTTATTATTATCTAAATATATAAAATTAAATTTTTTATGTCTATTAATAATATATATTTAAACAATATTAACTATTGTTAACTTACAAAAATGACTATAACTCTTGAACTACTAGACAAAATTCGATGAAACTACTACTATTCAAATCAGCTCACTAAGACAGTTTTAATAAGGTATAGATTATCTATTTCTGATCACAGGATCACAAGATCAGATTCAATAACCAAATTAATAAGACAGCTGTAATTTGATTGGTTGAATAATTACTGTGTGAAATATTATACATATAATATATATAACATTTATGCATTTTAAAGCATATGAATTTCATATTATATTTAGTTTATATATATTATTTAGTTTATTTATTTTATTTATTTTATATATCAAATATATTTTATTTATTTTATTAATAGTAGTTGTAAAATATCTTGTACATGTAAAAGATATAGACCATTACTTATACTATATAGCCAAAAAGTATAAAAGCAGTCAATGTAGAGCTCAAATTCAACATTGAGTCTTCATATTCTTTCACTAATAAACTACTACTTTATATTACCCAAACAAACAGTTATTAGTATCTTTATATACTTTTAATTGTAGTTTCTTTTGTAATTGCAAATTGCTTTAAATCTTCTTTGTTAAGTTTTCTTTGAAAATGCCTTTTGACTTAGTTATAATACAGTAACAAGTGAGGTTACAAAAAGTGTTTATTGTCTAAAGTCACTCTAGTTACCTACTATCTTAAAAGAAGTAGATATAGGATAATACTATATATTATATAATTAAAAATTAGGTTATAGATTGATTGTCAAATTTATTTATAATTTAAATTTACTAAAATAATTAAAATTTATTTAGTTTATTATATAATTATATTTAATAATTTATAAGATATTTAATCAAATAAACTATGCAAAGGTGTGGTGATCTAATGAAGTAGTTAGATTATTAACTTTTTAAATGATAGGTTAAGTATTCAAATTCTATTAATAGTAAAAATTTGAATAATCATCTATATAATATTCATATTACAACAACTATTACTAACAATTTGGTTAAGATATCTGTAATAATAATTGCATCAGTATAACTAACAGATCATGAAGCATCTGTATAACTAGTTGAACAGAGGAATGCAAACTGACAAATTGGACCTGCAAGCACTATATAAGTTTTTGTAATCATGCAAATTCATTAAAATTAGATAACAAGAAGTCTATTTAAAAAAACCTGAATAGAGAGATAGTTGGATCTTCAATAATATTATTGTAAACCAAAGTTATAGTACCTAGCCATAGTATTTAAATAGCCAAGAATCTCTAAGTTGAGAGTTTTGGAGATATTACCAACCAGCCAATTAAAATAAACTAAAGAAAAAGGATATCAAACTAACTTGATATATCAATAAACTGATCATAGTCTTATATAGCCTATTTGGAATGAAAAGACTAAACAAAAGACAAAAATATACTAAAGTACTAATATTATATTATAAAGTAGATGCTGGGGCCTGTATAAACTCTATAAAAACATAGCAGTTAAATAATATAACTCTAACTACAAGTGTTAATTCTATTATAGTAATATCAGGTCAGTTGTAAAAATAAATACATAAGATTCTAAAAGGTTTATCTTAAGAATAAATTAGATTAAGATTAAGATTATAACCTGAACTTAATCCAGTAATGTTAATATAGATTGCAGATTCAAAAAGTTTAAACTAGAACATTCAAGCAGAGATGTTAGATACAGCAATTAGTAGAGAAATTTCAAACAAACTTCTTAAATAGATAATATAAAAAAGTTATATATATAGTCAATTATATGCTCTTCTGTAGTGGTTTATTGAATTACATTACTAAAAAAGTTATTAATAAAAGTCAAAAGACCAAAGAGGTCACAAAAAAAAAAAAATTAAAAAAAATAAATTATGCAAAATAAATATTTAAATTAATATTAATAAAACTAAACAACTCTTTCTAATGATCATTTGAACCAAAATTTTTAAAGTTCAACTACAGAAAAATAATATAGCTAATATCTTAAATTTTATGAAAACTTTTTTAAAGTACTGAGTATACATAATGAATATTAAAATAGAATTGAAAAAGAATATTACTTTGTGATAACAGTTTAAAAACATTTTAAAACTATAGAAGAAATCATTAGTAAAAGCCAAAAGTTTCTTATAAACTAAATAACAAAGTTGGATATATTATTTTTATATAACTGTAAATATATAAAGAACTTTCTGAAGAGTTAAGTATTTATAAAAACTAAAGTTTAGTTTACTTTATGTCTTTTTTTTCTCTCAAGAAAATTTTATAAAAAATAAATAATTCAGTATACCTTTTTTAAAAGATTAACATATAAAAAGACCAAAATAATAAGATTGTTTATTTCCTAATTAAAATTGTATAAACAATACAGTAATACAAACATGATTCATATATGTGTCTCAAACTACTGAAACTTTATAAAATGCTGCTTTCAGATTAATTAATAATCTATACCAACTTTCTATATTTAAGTTAAAGTTTTATCTTATATAGTTTTTTGTTAAATATTCTAAGTAAATAGAAAAATAGTAGAGTTAATTTTATTTAGTATAGTTTATAATTTTTAAAAGCTGACACAAACTTATCATTGTAACTATTCAATAGGTATATAATAAGAGTTACATATATCATTTTATTTTTATTTTTATTTTTTTTTTTAATTTCTTGTATTGTATTTTTTATCATTTATCTCTATATCTTTGTATTTTTTTTTTATAAATTTTTTTTTTCTTTACTTCACTATAAGATGTTATTAAATTAGGAATATTTTATTGTAAGATATTGGTCAGATGCATTTTTAAATCCTTTTTTTTTATAAAAATTTAGATATTAATACAGACAAATTACTTGTAAATGCTTATAAAAATAACTACAAGATGTCAACTTAGTATATTAAGTTTAAAAAATGATTTAGTATAAAAATATAGAATCTTAATAAAAAATATTAAAAAGACTGCCAAAATTAAAAAAAATATTAAAATTAATATAATAATAATAAAATATTTTAAATATACTAGTTTATTTTAATAAATTTATTATTAAAATAGTTATCTTGAAAAAATAATTTAACAAATCTAAAATTATTAAAATTCAATTACAATATTATAAAATTATTAAAACTTTTATATTATTTTTTAATAAAATTTTATTAAATTTTTTTTGATATTAAGATAATTTCTTTGGTTTTTTGACTTTATTAATACTTCTGTTAGGTATCATAAGTGTAAAACTGACTATACATGTAACTTTTTATATTACCTATTTAAGAGGTCTGCCTAAAGGTTCTCTACTAGTTGTTATACCTAACACCTCTGCTTAAATGTTTCATTTAAACCTTCTGATCTGAAACTTTTGTACCAACTTAACTAGATCAAGCTCAGATTCTTATCTCAACCTTAAGACTATTTTATTTTTAAGATAAACCTATCAGAACCTTTGTGTCCTACATATAGCTAATCTGGTTTTTATATAATATACTATAGTTACCTAACATTTGTAGTCAGAACTAATTTTAAATTACTATATTACACAATTTTTACCCTTATAAAATTTATTCAAACCCTAATATATTTTTTGGTATTTTTTTTCTCTAATAATTCTGATGATCTGATTGGTCATATGCTTTTTTATACATTTTTCCATTCAGTTGCATCTACCTATTCCTTATTGAGGTTTTCTGAACTTTTATTAGTCTGATAACACTATCAAAAGTTTGTGCTACTTTTTTCTTAGGATTTCTAAATAAGATTCTGTCTTCTTGGTTTCTTAGTCTTTTACATCTAATGAACTTATCATGAGTCTATACTAGAGTCTTATGCAATATCAGTTTTAACATTCCTTTATGTATGTGTAATATTACATTTTGCTAAATGTCCCAGGCTTCCAATAATAAGTAGAACCTGATTGGTTGTACTTAAGATTACAGATATCTAAATTTAACTAATTAACAGGGGACAGTTTTGCTATAATACAGGTTAATTTTCAAATTTCATCATAGGTAGAATTTGAATCTTAGACCTGCCACTTGAAGAATGACAATCCAACCATTACATTAGGATTGCCATTCTTTAAAATTTTATTAATTCTTATTAATTAATAATATAAAAATTTAATAAAATATAACAACTTAGTATATTTAATAAGTTATTAATTTTTTAGTAACAAATCTAATATTTAAATCCTATTTATAATAAAATATAAAAAATTATAATTGTATTATAATAAACTGTTTTTTAACAATTAATTAAATAAATATATTTGTAATCTTAGATATATTAACTTAAATAGAAACTTAGATTATTTATACATTACATAAGTATAAAAATATTTACTAGTATTATAAAAGATTTTTTATACAAACTTACAATATGAAGTTATATAAATTTTACAAATATAAAATAACAACTTAGTAAAATAGATAAGTTGTCAACTTTCTAATTGACAAATTGCAAGTTCAAAACCTACTAACAGTAAAATTTGAATTTTCATATATGTTAAAACAATTGTTTTCAATAATTAGATTAAAAAACATTTGTATAACTAGTTATACAGAAAAATTCAAACACAAAATTAGATAATACAAACTTAAGATAAATCCTTATAACTGTAAATCTGTAAAAATTAAAAAACAAAAACCTATTTAAAAAAACCCAAGCAGAGAAATAGTATGAATTTTTAATAATACTGTTATAAATAAAAACCTTCTTAATTTTCACTTTCATAAGATTTGTAAATTTCTACTTGCTGTTATAAGTAAAAGTTTTACTTATATGTAATTGCACATTTAGAGTATACCCCAGCTTTTTACTATACTATAGCATATTTCAAAATTAAGATCGTGATAATTTTCTATACTCTTACTACAATCAATTGTACCAACAATCATTGTATCTACAATAAAAAAAAGTGTTAATACCATATTCAAAGCTCAGTAACCAAGTATATATCCTTCTTAACATGAATTCCATGTTCAAAGAAAAATATCATCTGCCTCCAATGTGTTACCCAGTTGCAAAACTAGTTTTAAATTAATTTACAAAAAAAAGAATTAGATATCTACAGTATAAATATACTGTATAAAGTAGTTATAAGTGCTGTCAAGGAAAACACGAATTTAATTCCGAAAATTTGATAATCAGTGCTATCAAATTTTCCGAGTTTGAAAATTTAAATTCGTACTTACTGACAACACTCATATGTTTGCTTTTTTAACATATTTATTTGTAAAATTTACAAATAAATTAAGTTCTATATTAAGAAATATTAAGGTTCAAAGATTATAATAATTTTGGTTTATTATAATTTTAAATATAAAAAATCTATCATGTAACTGTCATTATTTTTGTAGCGAATTAAATCAAATAATATGATATTTATGTATAATACAAGTTATAAAATATTATGGCTAACAATACTAAAATATTGTCTTAGTGTATCGGCAAGAATTTCTGGCAGTGCATTGATATCTCTTAAAATTACATAATATTCAAACGGAAAGGTATTTAGATATCGTTCCATGCTAAGTGTCATTATCCCATTCACAGATTTATACTTGACTTGATTCATCGATATGATAGAATCTTTTTCTGATTTGTTATCAACAATTATAAATACAACCATTATTTGTACCTCAGTTGCTCTTCTGACAAGAGATTTAAGAGTTTCATGATCTTCACAAACACCATCTGATATTATTAGTTGAAGTTGCCATAACTCTTTTCTCTGTGCTATACCATTATATCTGTTTCTGGCACGTTCCAAAAGTTCGATAGATGCTTCCATTAATGATCTGACAAAGGTCTTGTTTTGTTCAAATGTAAATTGATGTATAAGTTGTGCTCCTGCTTCGCTGCTAAATGGTTGATCAAAAGGATGAAGTAATTGTACTTTTTCTCCGAAACTAACTATGGAAATATCACCAACTTCGAGTTGTGATAATGCTTTAGATATCAAAGCTAATGTCTCATAGGCGAGTTGAATCGAACGAGTTTCACTCATTGATTTTGAATCGTCAACTGCTATCATGACTTGATATTGTCGCTTGCTTAGTTTTGTGCGGCGAAGCCAAATTTTATCCTTTTTAAAATTACTGGCAATATACGGTATAATTTTTTTCATATTGAGCCTTTTGCCAGTCCGGTAATCTCCTTTTAATTTCGTGGCAAGGGTAGGCTCTAGAATTAATCGCAATTGTTCACAAAGGCCATTAGCCAAATCATATGTAAGATTTTCATATTTTTGCCAGAGTTCCCTTGCTTTGGCAATGTTCCGATCAGACTGCCGCCATTCCGACAATTTAATTTCAAGTTCCTGTCGTAAACTATCCGTATCCTCTATGGGAAAATGATCTTGAAATGAGCTGGATTGGCTCATAGTTTTTATTTCAGATTCATCTTGGGAATGTTTCTGCTCATTAATTTGATTCTTTATACTTCGTTCAGAAATACATGCCTCTTGGGAGTTTTCTTCTTTATCAATGTAGATTGAGTCATCACAAATAGGTTTGTCATTTTGAATATTAATAGAATTTTCAACTTCGATCTCTTTGTCTTCGTAAGCCGATTCATAATTACAAGTTTGATCATTTTCGTCAATTGTTTCAACCACTTTTAATTGATCTTCAGTAGCTGCAGCCATCACTTGAAAGTCATGAGCAATATCATCATCTTTTATATACTCAAATTTTTGACTTTCGTCTAATTTTTTATCTACGTTATTTTGAGGGTCATTGTTTTGATTAAATTGGGAGCCTGAATTTTCATCATTAATTATTTCAAGTCTCCGACGCCATTGTTCAAGAGCGTCACCAAGGCTCCTATGGGGATTGGCATCTTTTAAATCATAGTTCGGCCTTTCTTGACGATTGCCAAGATTTTTATCTAAATCGTTATTCTCTCCATCATTGCTTGGGTAAATGTCATCCATGGTATTATCATCATGTTTAATATTGTTCTCACTCACGACTTGCGAGTCTTTACGAGATCTTTCTTCTGGGATAGTAGTCACTTTACCTGATTGTCCGTCAATACCATAAATGTTTTCGTTAGTGATTTCGGAATTTGGATGTTCTTGATTGAATGATTCTTCAGTATTATTCTCTCTTTCACTACTTTCCATTTGGGTATTATTAATAGGAACTGTTTTTTGATCATGTTCCTTTAATGAATCGAAGTTATTATTTTTCTCTGATCGTTCCTCAACTTCATTACCAGGCTGCACATCATCCATATCATTAGTGCTGTCTGGTTCATCTACCATATTCTCAGTTAGCAATGAATTGACAGAATTATTATCGTCTTGATCTTTCGTGAAAGGTTCTTGAATGGTGTCAAGTTCAGGTACATCTATATGCATATCATCTTCATTATCAAGGTTATCGGCATCATAATCATCAAGATCTTCATTTCCATTGTCTTGATTGTCAAATTCATCATCAGGATCTTCTATATTCATATCATTTGGAAGATCTAAATTTTCAACTGGAGGAATGTCGAATTCAATCTTAGTTTGATTGTTGATTTGCATATCGCACTCATCATCATTTTGATCCTCGTTTTGATCATTTGAAATTTCTTCTTCAGTTCCACTCATATTTTCTTCACCTGACTGTTTGGGTTGATGAGATTCCTGTTTAGAATCATTGTAATTTTCTTTTGCAATAATATCCATTTCGCCTTTTTGGTCAGATTGTTTATGCTCTTGATTAACAATTTCTCCACTATCCTCATGATCGGACGTATCATCTCCCCACATTTTTTCGTCAACGTTTTGGTCATCATCATCAAGATTGCCAATTTGCTCATCCAAATTCGACAAGTCATCGTCTTCCTGAGATGAATCCGTATCGTCAAGTTGTTCAGTACTTTCTAGTGTTCCTTCAAAGTCATTTTCCATTTCAATTCCATTATTTTCTATGTTTGGATTAGTTGGTTCTTCTGACAACTTTTCGGTCTGATTCTGGGTTCCCAACACTTGCTCTTCATTAACTATTTCGTCACTCACATCTTTTGTGCCATCACCTTCACCAATACCAGTTCCCTGTGCATTATCATCGATCTCTCCTGATTCATCTTCTTCCATTTCTGTCTCTGGCATACAGAATCCTTTTGTAAATATAGTTACAAAAGAGTTACAAAGTACCAATGAGAGTTTACACAATGATTTATTGTGTAAAATAAAGTTTGTCATAAATCCATTAACGATCATAAAGTACTGCTGGATGAATGGAAAGATTCTTTGCAACAAACATGAAATTAAATCCCGACAAGTATCATTTTTAAATCTATTATCATCCATTAATTCAGAAATTTGCGAATGGATTTCGTCGAAATGACCCAAAATAATTTTTAATTGCAGTTTCTTTAAAAAGTTTATATAACGTTCATGTTCACAACGGATATAACCATCATGCATGTCTTCTTGATGTTGGTGATGAATATCGTCTTGAGCGCTATTAATGTTTTGAGAGGACAGTTTTCTTAAATTTTGGATACATAGTAGGATTTCATCAAGTAAATTGTTGATTTTGTAAACAATACGTCCGAGAGTTAACTTTGTTTCTTTATCTAAACTTAAATGCGTATAATCATCTTGTTTCGAAAATTGAAATAGGCTATCTTTGGAAGTTATGTATTCACAAAGCGGCTGGAAAATGTGGGAAAGATCCGGATGGCGAGAGCATAGACTTTTAACATATGTATGCAAAGTATTAATTATTGGAATCTCATTCTTTACCATTTTTATAATATCTTGAGTTATAATTGCATCACTTCCGTTTGCATAATCAGGATATAGAACAATTCTGTCGAATACGCAAATAAATCTTTTTCGAACTGCGGAAATCTTCTCAAACCAATTACTAATATTATGACTGATCTCTTCATATTCAAAAGAAACTTCATGTTTTGAGAATTGTTTTTGAATATTAAATAGTAAGCATGAATGTGATAACATACATTCTATATCATCTAAAAGAATTTTGATATTCCGTACACTTTTTTCATCGAAAGAATCGAGACACACAAATCCACAGTCTTCAGCATTTAAGCGATTGGAATTGTATGCCGAATGTATTGAGCCTAATTGTACCATGACTCCTGAAAGGCCAATATACTCTTGCTCTAATTCGCACAAGAATTTTCTTTCTTCTATTAACAAACATAATAAGTCTTCTACAAAACCTAATCCTTTCTGTACTTCTTGAAGTGAAAGATCCTTGGAATGCATTGTGGATACTTGTCGAAGTTGTGTCATTTGAGCAATAATTCGGTAATAATAATTATCAGCTTTTTGCAAAATTGGTACGAAAATAAGCGTAACTGGAGGTTTTGATGTGGACTCATCCTTATGAAGTAAGGATTCTACAGTTTCATACAATAATTTGGTTATTCGAATCCTAGGAAGTTGAAAAGTATAACCAACCAGATCTTGCTGTTGCTTTACAACCTTTGTATTTGGAAATTTGCACAATCCGATCCTTTTCAATTCTTTTAAAAGATCAACTAAAGCCTTCTTCTTTACCAATTTAAGATTTTTGATATAGTTTTTTTTGTCTTTATCCATTATGTAATGTGTTTGTTCTTGAAGCGTTTTTATTCGCATAATAATTTCTGTAGCAAAATCATCAAGAATAGGTTTTTTACTAAGTGGCCTATACAAGAAAATATCATTAAGACAATAATAACGGAATTTTTTCAAGGTTTTATCAATGTTTATGAATCGGTCAGGAACAGATAATACTTCTTTGCTCAATTCTATTTGTAACTCCAATGTCGTTGCAGGAGGATCAATAGGAATAGTGTTCGAAAACCAATTTTCCGGACAACTGTACGTACAATACTCAGTAGCATTGGAACTATTACTTTCTAACTTGCTTTTGGGGACAACCGTTTGACAGGATGCTATAATATCAGTGACCGGCTTATCAAGTACATCTCGATGTTTTCGAATACATTTCGATAAATGTCGATGGGTTTTTTGGGCACTCTGCTTTAAGGCATAAATATTTATATCTTTCCAACTAGCAATCTTTACGAACTGACAAAGGTCCTTTTCTATAGGCTTACGCATATCAGCTAATGCATTATCAAGTTCACAAATAAATTGAGAATAATACTTGTAGACGTTCCAAAGCACATCAGCTGTTTGTTTATAAAACGATTTATGCATTTCCCCACTCGAATTATTCTGTGTATTAAACTTTGAAAAATGATCCAGTTTACAAAGGTGTTCGTAGAAACAACGAATTAATTCGAGCCGAGATTTAAAGTCACCATATTTCGACGATTGCAGGAATTGATCAAGAGTGCGAACAATTTCATTTATGTGCTGTTGGAAAATTGCAATCGTTCTATCATAGGATGATTGCTTATTAAGATCATTTATTGGCAGAATTATACAGTTAAAGAGGTGGAACCACCATTTGGATGCGGATAATTCATAATATTTTTCTTGTACAGCCAATAATTTTGGCCAACACGTCAATTCGAGTTGTCTCCACTGAATAATAAGTCCAATAATCTCTTTCTGATATGATTTAATTGTTGTATCTCTACTAGCATATGTTTCCCAATCTTCAGTTTTTTGTAATAAAATTTCTAATCCTGTAAGGAATTTTGCAATAGGTGAATTTAAATTAAATCCTTTGATTCTTTCACAAATATTATTAATTTGGTGAAGTACTGCGTGTTCAGGCCACATTATGATCAATTCTGTAATACGTTGTTGCAAGTTTGTGATCACAGGAATTAACTTTTTTGCTTCAAATATGTTATGATCTTTATAGAAATCATACATCTCTGGATCTTTATTAATTAAGCTACATGTATTTATAATTTCATCCTTTCCCACAAGCCAATTTTTTAATATTGACGTGCCTAATAATGTGCATGTTCCAAATGCATCATCAAGTTCTTCAGAATATAATCTGTTATTAAGTGAAGTAAGATCTCGTGCCATGCTAAAAGTCGCCCAGAATGTCTGCTGAATTGCCTTTGGGCAGTCTTCAACATATTTTGCACAATATAAATTAAAGTCACTGACAAACATTTTATATAATGTGCATATATTTATAATAATTTCATCTTTGATAATTATCACTTCTTCTAATAACCTTGATGGTGAATCGTCTAACTCATTATCATCGCTTGTGTCATCAAAATCCTGACTAAAATCCGGAAACATCTGCTTAATCTCTGCTTCAGCAGCTTGCTCGTCAGTAATATTAGAATACACTTTAGTTTTATTTTTGTATAAACATTCTTTTTCGTAAGCGATTTTCTTCTTTTGATCTTCAGCAGCAACGTATACGTCTGCTATTTCTCCGAATATTCTTTGAATAAATTCCAAATCTTTAGAGATTATATGACCACGCTTTGATATATGAGAATATAAACATCGAAGAACGACAACAATATATTCTAAATATTTATCCCATCTATCAATATCACACTCTGCAGAAAAAATAAACTTTTTAATGTTTTTCAATGAATCAGACGAAGCAAGTATCTCAATGCACTCTAATGGATATCCCAATTTGGTAATTGATAAAAGACATTTCAGCACATTAAAGATTGTTAACTTATGTGAAGAGTTCAACCTTTTGAAAGATGATGTAGCCAGCCTAATACCATGTTTTAATTGAAAAATAGAAATACAAATTGGTTGAAGTAAATCACGATAAAGTGGGTAATTTTGATTCATTCGTTGAATAAATTGTAATGTGTTCTCTTGTAATAAAATCTCACGCTCAAGAACAGACGAATCGTTTCCTTTTTCCAAATCATCCAGAAGTGTTAGAATATGTGATACATCTATAACATTGTTACAAAGGTAATGTATATGTCTAAAAAGCTCGTTAATTTGAGAAACATCTGGACGCAATGCCAACTCGACAGATTTACTCGTCAAAAGCGATCTAACATCGTCTAAATTTTGCTTTAAATTCTTAACGGTTTTATTTGTAGACTCACCAGTCATATACCGTTCAACATCGGCACGTACATTGATTTCAATTTCTAATTGGGATTGCATAAATTGCAATTGCTTACATTTAAAAGAGGTTTCCATCGTTGGGTCAAAGGGATAATTTGGAACATACAATGTAATAAAACCCAATGCAAGGAAGACCCATGCGTGTCCGATTTTCACTAACAACTCGTCATATGTATGTGCACATTCTTTTTTGAAAATGGTTGAAATGGAATTAACTACTGGAATAAACCATCGATCTAATGCAAGAAGAAAGAACGAATCGTGTGCTGTTTTCAAGGCGACAGACATAGCATCAAGTGAATTAACAATAGTATCGTTCGTCTTGAGAACCGGTAAACATTTAGTTGCATTAAGAACAATTTCAAGATTGCGACATATTTCGTGCCAAGATTCCGACGAAAATAAATGACTAAGTGGAAGGAAAATCTATAAAGTAATAAAATTAGTAAACTTGACATGAAATTGATTCATTTATAAGGATCACTAACCTGCTTAATATGCTGCACAAGGCATGCAATATCGATGTTCATTCGATTTGTTTTAAAGACTAATTTATTTCCGATTTGCTTTTCAAAATTTTCAAGGCAAGTTAATGCAGAATTGAATGAACCGATAGATATAGATTGTAGCCTACAACTAATTAAAACCAAAATTTAAGTGCATGATACGTGGCTATGCAAAATTAAATCTATTTCTTACGTGAATTTAAAATAATATTCGCTAAAAACGCTTTGAAATAATCTAGCAGGGCCTCCCGTATGCTATAGTATATAATAAGAAGGTTAGTTAATTAAGCTTATAATTCGTGCGGACTAAAAAAAACCCATAACTTGCCCTTGAAAATTTTAAGTCAATCGCATCATTATCCACAATAAAATTACTGAAGCTGCTATTCCATAGTTTATTGTGCCAGCCATATAAGACATCCTGAATAATATTGTTCAATATGCGTTCGGCTTTGTCCTTAGGAACTAGACAAAAATAATTTTAACCAATGAGCATTTAAGAATATATTAAATAATGATGAAGCAGAACTTAGTTTCAAATTATGCTAAACCATTGACATCATTTCCGTATATCCAGAGAAGTTGTTGATGTGGGGTAAAGTCTAATGGTTTTCTTTTCGAATTTATTAGCATCCAATCGCGAAATTCAGACATCTGACAAAGTATTGTACTATACTCAACCTAAAACATTGAGCAATTGCATTTAATAGGTTGTGTAAACATAATCAAAGATAATTTGGAAGACACAAACATTTGTAGACTTAAATCCTTGCGCAGCAATAAATTGAAGTTGGCTGATAATTTGCATCTCGTAAATAACACTCCAATAGTCCATTATGCAATTGAACGGCTCACATGGATCTTGCAAGGAAGGCTTGACATCAGGATCAATAGACTTTAAGCGAGTAGTAGCAAGCTTTGTTCGAACATGCTAATATAAAAGAAATTATGAGAAGTCATGAAGTAGAAGATGCGACTATATGTGACACATCAAATTATTAAATACCACTAGAATCTTCTTTATTGAATCCAATAATTTAATAGAATCAGCATCCGTACATTCGTCGAGGAAGTATAATGTTGCAGCTGCATCAACCAGCATTATTTTTATGCTATATGCACCTAAGCAAAATTATAATTAAAAGTAAATAATTTATTTGGAACCTGAATATGAAAAATATAAAACCCACTATCTTGATCTATATCATATTTATCCAATTCGTTTTCAATTGACAATAACTCTTGCTGAAGTAGAAAAAGATCCATATTTCTAAGGGATATATGATGAAAATGTTTCCATAGTATATCCATAAATAATCCAGTCGTCAAGGCTGTAGCTTCAATCAGAGTGCTCAAAATATCACGTAAAGGGCGCATAATTTCTTGATATTTTTCGCATAACGAAGCTGTTATCCCATAAAGTATTTTGGTGCATGTAAATAACTCTCCGATGTCGAGAGATGATTGCTGCAAACATTCCCATAAGAAATCTCGTTGTTTTATAAACTCAAATAACAAAGACAACTAGAGTAATCAATAATAAGTTATTTCACATCCACGCTTATCAAAAAGTGGCAGGAAATTAAATTGTAAATGTACCTCATCATCATTTAACTCTCTATCAATACAAGAAAGGACACATTGTCTTGATTTTTCCAAAAAGAGATATATAATCCCAAAAATCTTATTGTTTAACTGGCTCTCAGAAATTCTTCCCTGATGATAACAATATGACTGCTGTGCCAAAGTCAGATTTGAGACTTTTTGCAGCATGGCTTGTTCATAGGTCGCGTTTTCAACATATTCATTTCGCAAAATATGTCTCAATAAATAAAATGATTTGATTTTTGAGAAATATTCTTTCCATAACATATGGATTATACCAGTTTTCAAGTTATCACAAAGGTTGGACACGTATACATCAATTGAATTGATTAAAGGAAGATTACTTGTAATGTCAAGAGGCTAATGATTCAAAAATTGGAAATTAGCATGTTTCAATATCGGCACGAAACAAAAAAATCTTTACACGGACCTGATATGACATATAGGACACATCAAGACCGATTTCATAAGCTAATCGACTTTTAATGTCAGCAAGTTGAATAGCAAGAGGATGATTTATAACTTTATTTAGTAGAAATTGGGTATAATCCAAGGAACTTTGCTTATTATTAGCTAATAAATGCGAAGATTGCATTGCAGAGAAAACAAAATTAACCCAATATTGCCGTATTGGAAAATCTTCTAATGAAGTCATCTCAACAAAACATTCACTAGCTACAAGTAATGGTCTCGGTATGTGTGATTTTGTATCATGGCCTGCAGATATCTCACATTTGAGCACGATATGTAAGAGATGAGATGCTTGCAAACAGATTTTGGCCAAAATTGATTCATTTTTATATAGATCACCATCAACAACGAATGGATAATTAGAAGATAATAACGTGTTGGATGAAAAACATATTTTATCGAATTCATAGGCTTTGATAAAATCTTGAGAATACATTTCAAAGTTATAATTGTCAATACAATGACAAGCCTGTTGCAATGAAGAAATTAAAGCTTGTGAAAAGTTATCACCACGCTGAATTCTTTCATTCACCATCTTCACAATCATAATGTACCATCTTAAGGTTGGTCGAAATTTACAGGACAATGACATATTATTATTAATTTCGCTTATAAATTTTTCCATAGCAGCTGGAAAACAAGGATGCCAAAGCCCAAAACTATTGGCAAGTCTTGTCAAATCTTGCTGATTTTCAATCAATTCCGTATTTACTAATGCAATTTCTACACCACGATTTCGCATTGCGCGTGACAATTCTCCATTTTTTGGATTAAGAGTCATAAATAGCCTGAAATTTTTGTGAGGACGAATCATCCTTATTTCACCATTAATCATACTATGCTCGTTTACCATTAAGACACCATTTGGTTCAAGTAAAGAATTGAGCCTATCAAGAACTGATGGATTGCAAAGATTAGCATTATCAATTAATAACCAATGACCATTCTGCAATGCTTTAATTATTACACCATCAACCCATTCAAAAAGACCTGAAACTGGTTCATTTTCCTTGGACTTCAAACTAGTGACTTTATCAAATATTGCATGCCATTTAATTGTTAAGGCCAAACCATAACTTGAAATGGTCTGTTCAAGTAATGACAGTAAGTGATCAACTATTGAATAATCCAAGCGCGTGTTAAATTTGAAATAATTTTTTAGAGTGAATAATACATGATTAAGTTGCATCAGAGTTTGCACAACATTATCAGTTTGGAAATTAGAATTTGATAGTTGTGCATGCGTTGATAAAAGCACATCTTTGGTAACTTCATTAGTCAAGTTCAGTAACTCATTAATTACAATTTGACGATGTCGGGATAAATCAAATTGTTCAAATCCACCTAATAATTCAATAGTGTCTACAGAATTATTCATTACAAATTCTTCAAGCGGATTTCCGGTGAGGTTTGAAAGTAACCTTACTAAATTAGTTTTTCCAGACGCTTCAGGACCGGTTAATATCACCATCCAATTCATTTCAACACATTTCATTAATGATTGCAATGGACGTAGTTGAGATTGTAAAATATGCAACTTATTTATTGAAGAATGAGTTAAATGAGAATCTTCGCGTTCTATGAGTGAATGACCCACTTGAATAAATTTAGGATCAATATGATAATATGGATATTTTGGTCGTTGATAATTCTGACCAAAAATTTCATTGAATACTGAAATAATACAATCCCTATCTTGTTCAGTTCTCATTCTCTGAAGATAGATGAGATCCAAATACTCATCAGGTGAAGAATAAAATCCAAGGCTGTAATCTTTACTAAGTAGTTCAAGCCAACGGAATATGTCTCGTAAATTGAATTCCCACGGAGCCCCGTTTCGCCCATATAAGCATTTAATCATTATATCCTCATTTATCCGAGTATTAAACTTTATCATCTTTTCCAAAACTACTTCTTTTATTTGTGGAAATAAGCTCTTACATATAAAGAGTAAGTCATTATTTGTGAGTTGATCAATATAAACCTGTGTGAATCGATTAATAAATGATCTAGGGAGGCCTTTTCTACCTCCACCCTGATGCAAAGGATTTTGCGCACCAAAAACGCGGAATTCTTTAGCACAAAAGAATTCCTTGTCTAATTCTGGTATGTATATCGCTTCACGATGGTCTAAGCAAGAATTGAGACCCTCCAATACAGATTGTGATGCAAGATTAAGCTCATCTAACAATACCCAATCCCCTGATTTCATTGCTTGTAAAAATGGTGCATCTCGCCATGCAAATTCACCACTTATTCCACCTTCAACAGGAAGATCTGAACCGAACAAATCGATCAAATCGGTTTGATCAGATAAGTTTATACGAACAAGCTTGTGACCTGACGCAGCTGCCAATGCGGTGACCAAACTAGTTTTACCAGCACCTGGACTGCCTTCCAGTAAAATGGGTTTTCGAACTTGCATAGCTCGAAGAATGCGCATAGCATTATCTGAAGTCGTAGGTGCTTGCAAAGTAAAAGTAATATCATGAGATATATGTGGTCCTTTAGGTATAGAAAAGTAATTAATACCAAAATGAGTTTCAGTGGAATTAATTTTAATTGGCTCACAATCAAAATTAACAATTGACTCAAATACAGCAAAATTATTGCTTAATTCTTTCAATTTCGTAAAACATTTCATTCGAATATCTTTTAAAGTTTGGCCTGATAGTAATATGCGCGATGCGGAACTCGATCCAAGTCCATCCAAGAATACTAGACACCCCCCTTGAATAAATGATTCTTTGGGACCAAGCTGTCCTATAATGACATTAATAAAGTTTATCCATGATAAAATATCCCTAAGACTAATAATTGCGACTTGATTACCAAGTATATGAAAAAACCAATTTATAAATTCTAAAATCGACAGTCCAACATTTTTTGACTCAGGATATATAAGTTGTGAACTAATAATTTGCAACAGATCTTCCTCACTTGATACTGGTGGGACCCAAATCTCTGTAAATCGGTTTCTCAAAGCAGGTGACAGCTCTTTTTTCCCATAATCACCTCCGGGGTTCATGGTCGCCAAAAATTGAAACCCTATTTCAGCAACGAATTCTTCAATACACTTTCCTCCTTTTTCCGGTAATGTTAAACTTCGATGAGGTTCAAGAACACTATTAAGACGTTCTATAACAGAGTCATCAGCTAAGGAAATCTCATCTAGTAAAAAAAAAGATCCACCTTTCATGGCCTTAACAAGCGGTCCATCATTCCATTCAAATAAAGTACAAGACTGTTTACATCTTGATGATAATTGTTTTGCTTTATCTTTATCAATTTGTAAGTTCTGTTCATCTTTGGAAACAAGATCAAGATGTCTAACCAAATCACATAAATCAAGCTTTTCCAAATCTATATCATGTTGTTCATGATGTTTCAAGTACTCGGAAATATCGTGTTTAAGTTCAGAATTCAAAACATCTCTATTCCTCAACGGCCTTTGTCCACCTAGCAAATCCGCAGTTTCAGTGCTATGATGACAATTTAAAACGTATAAGTCAGTTCGTCGAGCTTCAGCCAACACCTGACACACTGACGTTTTGCCACATCCAGTTTCACCAATTAATAAGACAGGCTCATTAAACCTTAAACATTGTGCAACAAGCATAAATAGTCGTTGCATAGCTTTTGTCCAAACAATATAATTTTTTGAATACATTTTAAACTCTTCCAATTTAGAGCAATCGTACATAGAATTTTCATCGATAGTTACTTTCATTACCGTCTCTAATACCTGTTTAACAAATAATTTTTCGTCAGGCTTTCTTACCCTCTCTGCCAAAAGCATAAAACCTTGTTCAGCCAATTCCTTATAATCTATTGCACCCCTTTTTGCCCAACGGAATAAGTCTCTTAATGTAATAAATCCATGCTGTTTTTCAAATATTCTTGTACTTTGACGTTGTTCCATGAGTTTTTTATAAACTTGGACCATACGTTTACAATGAGATGGAGCAATAGCACATCTTTCCGAAAGAATAGTTTCTAGTTCCTCTTCCGGAATATCATCAAAATGTATCTCAATGAACCGATTACGAAATGCACGAGAAAGTACTTTACGTCCGGCATATAATCCGGGTGGATTTTGAGTCGCGAAAAGCATAAAGTCACTATGTGGTTTAATCATTTCTTGTGTTTCAGGAATAAAAAGTTCTCTATTATCATCTAAAAGACGATTTAAAGCTTCTAATACATCAGTAGGTGCAAGATTTAACTCATCTAACACAAGCCAATAACCTTTCCTCACAGCTTCAACAAGTACCCCTTCTTGATACTCAAGTTTCCCTTCACTGTTTGTAACATAACTACCAAGATATTCTTGAAGATCGGTATGTTCATGGTTGTTAATCCTCATAAACCGATGATTAGTCCTTTGAGCTAAATAATGAATCATACTAGTTTTTCCAGCTGAGGTAGGGCCTTGAAGCAACACTGGAAACTTACTACTCATAACAACTCTCGCTAAATTGTTCAAATTTTTCATTACCGAAGGAGTTAAGATATAATTTGATACTTCTTTTGAAGGATAATTTCCAATTTTTAACCAGTAACATCCAAATTGAACATAACTACCGTTAGACGGCTGTCGTGAAATTTGAGTAATTAAAGCCTTAGAATTAACACCATTTAACAAACAGTTTTCAATCAACTCTTGCATTATTATTCCACTTTCTTTATTCAACTGAGTCAAAAATGTCATACAAAAACTCTCATAAATAGAACGTTTTAATCCATACATTGGTGTAATTTGAGAGACAACACTCAATGCACGAGTAAGAGTTCTCATGCTAAAATGAGGACGTTGATTTGATCCATCAACAAGCTTATGCTGTCGTTGTAATTCCTTTACCTCCAAATAAAAATTAACTATATCAGCACAGACACGCTCTTCACCATGAATACATCCTGATAGGTATTTTCTTACAATGCACAACAAATCATCCCGTCTACTATCTGGAGAATTAACATAAAACTCCGAAAACCTACTGCGTAGTCCAGGTGGAAGGTCTCGCTTGCCTACATCAGTTGCAGGATTCATACAAGCGAAAATTCTAAAATTTGAATGACGAATGATTGGTTTAGAATCACCTTTTTCAATTAATAACAAAGAGCTTTCAGGATCTTGAAGAATGCTATTTAAACATTCTAAAGTTTCTGTTGATGCTAAATTAATTTCATCCAAAAGAATCCAATCTCCTTTTGTAACCGCATTCGCTAAAGAACCATCAATAAATTTGAAAACAAATTTGTTACGTATTTGATCAAGTTGATATTGAAATTCTTTAACAGAATTTTCAAATAATTTCCACTGATTTCTTAACTCAGGACTCGATATTTTTCGTGAATTTTTTTGTTCATCTTGACTTTGTTCCGTATTAAAACTTTTCTCAGATAATTTAATTGCCTCTTGCATTAAAGATATTAATCTTGAATATTTCTTGGTAACATACATTTTATGTACAGTTTCTAAAAAACGAGAATTCTTTTGTACAGAAAAAGTTTTTCTAAATAACTTATCAAATTCCTCTTTCAAGGGAGTAACTATAACTTTTGCATCAACCGGCTTAAAACCTCCAAGAAGATCACTGCTATCACCTTGCTGTGACAAATTAACAACGATAAGATTTTGATGCATAAGTTCTGCTAAATATTGAATTGTAGCCGTTTTACCGGTTCCAGTTTCACCAACTAATAGGACAGGCTCACATAAAAGAACACAAACTGCAATCTGTTCCAATAATCTTAAAGTATGACCTGTATTGGCAAATGGTTGTTGCTGTGATTCACGTTTAATATTTATATTTTTTTTGCGATTCACTGAAAGAAACCGAGCCCTCCCAATTATAATATCTTTATCTTCAATATTAATGTTCGGAATATAAGAATTTACATAGAATTGAACCCATTGATCTGTCATCCCTAGAGTCACACCAAGTTTTTCTAATACCATTATCAAACTTTTATGGTCTGAAATCATGGCACAAAAGCAATCTGCTGCTTCTTTAAAAAGTCCTTCTCGCACTTGACTTGAAAGACCTTGACTATAAGACATATGATCATTTGAACTAGTAAAAAATTCGATTCTCTTACACCATTTCATCAAATCACGAGCAGATATAAATCTAAGTACATTTGATGATAACATTGTAACATCCTGATAAATGGAAACCATAGCTTTATAAACATGTATAATATCAGGAACTAAATCCCGTAAACTTTCAAAACGATTTGCAACTATAAATTCTAATTCATCAATACTTTGAGATTGTATTTTAATTTTTGTCCATAATGTATGACCGATATCAGAATCAGTCATTTGCCTTTTTGAAATCCCATTATCAGAGTCAGATAATAAACTCCTTGTAGCAAATAATTGAAAGCCTTGTTTGGCAAAAATTTTTTGACCTTTATCTGGAATGAAAATTTGACCAGTTTCAAGTAAAGGAAATAAGATAGATAACACGTCCATTGACGCGAGATCTATATCTTCAATCAAAACCCAACATCCATCACGTACGGCAGTAGTGAGTATTCCAGGCTGCCAACGAAATGTGGCAGGAGTGGATGTAGAAACGTAAGTTCCTAAGAGTACTTTTGCATCTGTCTGATCACCCAAGTGAATTTTTACAAGCTCTATTATAATAATAATTAATCATGACAATTAATAATAGATAATATGAATAAAACAAATTAAATGAATATAAATAAAAAAATTTTTCTTACCTTCATCGCGCCCAGTTGCAATCGCAATTTCTTCTATCAATGATGTTTTTCCTGAACCAGTAACACCTTCAAGTAAAACTGGTGAACCCATAGAAAGCGCCAAACATATTTCATTTAAATTTCTTTGTGTTGTATCAGTCATCACAAGTCGTTTCTTTACTTTTGATGTAGTATTCTCGGATGGATTTAATCTTTGTAGTAAAACTTTAGAAATTTTGACAGTTAACGGTGATAAATCATCATCTTGTAATATACGCGATTCTGTTAATGACGAACTGCTATAATCATTTTGGAGCAAACTAAACTGTTGCTTATAATGTATCACTTTGTCGAAAATACTGCAATATAGTAAATACAAATTTAATACATACTACAAATGAAGGAAAAAAAAACTTTTTAAAACAATATACATACATTAACATTCGAACATCTAGTGTTTCGCCATTGTCCAAATCTATCAAAACCGGTTCATTTTTTGGACCAATCCATTTATTATACGCCTTTTCCTTTTGATTCTCACTTAGACCAAAAACAATTCCCAAACAACACAAGGTTAAATAACGAATAGCTTTATTTGAATGTGTCAGCAATTGAATGAGTGTGGACCAATCCCATAAACGGGAGAATGTGGTCGTAGAAAATCTTAAAAGTCGATACGCTGTGATCAAAAGAGATTGTATGTTTTTTTCTGTCATATAATTCTACAAAACCAAATAAGAAATTTATAATGTTAAATTCACGGTAGTGATTTGACAAGAAAAATATTGTTGATAAAATACGTGCATCCTTGTTACATTCATTTTGATTCAAAGAGTCAAGTCCTGAAAATATTGAAGGAGATTGAGAAAAGAGTGTAACAGCAAAACTAAAAAAGATAGATAATAAATTTAATCAAATATAACCTCAATTCTAAATAAAAATATTGTACAAAAAAAAAAAAAACTTTTTTTCAAACTTGCCCTAACAATTGAGGTGCTATAGGTAGTAATTGACTGAAAGCAGAAGCCACGTTTTCAATTCGGGAGTATATAAATGTGGATGTGTGCGTAATATCCCGCGGTAATAACCAACGAGAAGTTAGATCAATCAAGATCGGACGAAATAGTTCCGCGATTAATAAAGTAAGCAGTGGGTGTAGAAGTAAATCTGATAAACAATTCAATAGTTCGCGTGTCGAAGGCGGTTTTATCGCAGGATCATTATGGTTCTCGCTTGTTAAAAAAGAGGTTATTAAGTTATAGGAGTGTTCTAACGCATCAGCTTGATTCGAATGGCGAATTCTTTCAATTTTTGGTATTAGATTTTTACAAGCGGTATAAATGTCCATTTCTAAAGGGTCGAACGGCCTAGTTTCAAATGATTTTTCGAATACATCCAGCTCCATTGGACTAAATGATTCTACGTGGAAAGCCATTATCAGTTATAAACTTTTGAAAATCAGCGCGTAAAAAAAAAAAAAATTTTGATCAAATTTTTTTTAATCTTAACTCTGGTTGGTCGATAAGGTGGATTTACCATGTGTGCATAAATGTCTTTTCTGATGCGCGTCCTTTAGTTTATCGTTATATGTTAAATATGATAAACTCCAGAAAGTAATGTTTGAACCACTGAACTTATAAAAAAAATATAACACTAATCAGAAACATTCGATAGATATGAAGTTGCTACCATAGTTCAAGCAAATAATTGACTTTTTCCATTGCAGATTATATTTTACAATTGAATCTTAACAATTCCAAAGCAGCTCATGGTGATTTCAAAATTTTATTAAATATTTCAAGGAATTAATATTCTTGTAATGTTTTAAAGTTGTGTCTGTAAGTTGAATCATTTTTCAAACATTGATGTTTTTTTTCTTATATTTATCATTTGTAAATAGTTATCGAGATAAAGCACGCAAATTAGAGTTGATCCAGCCAAATATTATAAAAAAAGTTCTGAAGATTAGCAGTACTAAAGATGAACCCCCCCACCCAAATCAGTTCCGTAAAAATACAATTTATACACAATATCTGATATATATATTCAGGTGATTTTATTATGAAATTTTTATTAAACTCTGATTTGGGTGGTTCGTCTCGAAAATTTGATCTCTAAAACTAAATAATATCATGTGTTCAAAATTGCTATTGGAAAATCTTTTTTTTTATAACCCATACAACAAACATTCAATTTTTATGCAACCGAATATACGATACAATAAATTTTCTTTTATTAAAAAAAAATTTTTTAAATTTTTACATCCTTTGCATCCCGTATCCCTCATTATAAGTGCATATCACTAGATTATATTCAATTATAAAAAACGTATTAACATAAGGATATAACCTAGTGCCGTAAATATTTGCGTATATATAAAAATCTTAATTGTCAATTACCTGGCGCAGCAAAATGCGAATCTACAAGGAAAATGTTAATTGAACAAAAAAAAAACAAACTGAATTATTAACTTTTTATACCAGTTCCGGTTTTGGATCTCTATTCTCGGTGCATTCTAGTACCTTGGTAAAATACGAACCTACGAGAAAAAAATCGAAGATCAAATAAATCAGCATAATATTTTCATGTGTACTTATTCTTCCGATCCAAGATTATTGAATTTAAGTTAGCATAATGTTCTTGCAAAATAATCTTAATGAAACAAGAACCTACAAGAAAGAAAATATAACACATTAATGATGGCTTATATTTTTTTTAACTTGTAATGCACACAAGCTTATGTGAACCAAGATCTACTAAAAATATTCACCTTTATTCACTTAACACGATAATTTGATGCGTTAGATTACTAATATTAATAAAAAAAAAAAAATTTGGTGAGATAACTCAATAAGCAATTCGAGTAACCAGAAGCATACTTTTTAAAGAAACAATTCCACAAGTTAACTTCACACCCGGCGATAGTCATATTGACTGGCGTAACCGTTTCCAGGGCTCATGTTCCCTGAATGTGAACTTAAACTTGTAGTATTATAAGGGAAGACCAAAACCTCCTTCGGTACTGGAATCCTTATAATAACCCAAGGCAACATGTTTCCAAAAAAGTAATGAAGCTGGCCAGTAGCCTAGAAATTACTTACTTCGTTCCCTTAAACGTATTCTCCGATTCCTTTTTCTTTATGTAATCTCTCTTCTAAAAATCGTTGCTACATCAATAAAAGATAATTATTTTGACTTTAATAAAAAAGAAATAAACATTTATATATTAGTTTAGTTACCTTAATAATAAAAACGTGATGTCCAGTTTCGTGAGTTGGTTTATTGTTATCGTGTTTTGTTTATTTTGTCAAAACACGATAATGATAAGTATATAATACGAATAACACGTGTCTCTTTGCGGCACGTACCCAGGTCGGGTCAGGTATTGAACCGGGTTATAACCCAGGTCACGGAAATTTATAAGTTAATCCTTAATTACGTATTATCACCTGACTCCAAATATTTAAACTGGACCCGGATAAAAACTCTACTATTTAGTATAAGTTATAATATGTCATCGACTATAGTTGGTGGTAGAATTACATTATGGCATTCTACCATATCTGATAGACAGCGGAGACCGTTAATGTTACACATATATTAAAACTGGTGAGGGATTATATCCATCACATTTGAATCCAACATAAATAATTTAAATTGTGATTGATCACAGGCGAGAGGGATTCACTTTGGATCGGGCACTGTCTCTGCTGTATATCTGATATGGTAGAATTAATTACGGCATTTAGCATCTATTTGCCGTAATACGTGGCGGTGCCAAAATTCAAAATTAATTCTACCGCCAACTATATCTTCGACTCATTCAGTAAATTACGTAATAGGAGGTTTCAGAATTAACTTAAGTGGGAGCTTAAAAGATCCAACTTTTATTTTAAAATCCCGACTCAGGGAATTAAATAGACGCATACGCTAATAAAATTACCTTTTTTTTTTTTGGTAAATAGGTAACCGATTATGTAAATAAGTTTATACGTTAAGAAAATTTTGGATCACACGTTTGACATAAATTCTCTTATAATGAAAGCCGTTAAAAAGTAACACAGTTAGAAATACAATGAACATTTTAGTAATGGGTTAGCGGTGTTGAACCTTTTTTTTGTTTTTGTTTTTTTTTTTTGCTCCAAGGTTTTTATGGCTTATGAATAAATAATTGCAGCAATAATAATCACCGAATGTTTATTGAATTAATCGGTAAAGAAAAAATATATCCTAAATTCGATTTTGCGAATAAATACATATTCGAACATTCGAACATTCTAATAATTATTCAACGGATCAGACCTCTACTCCTAATAGTATCTTAATAGGTTTTTGCTGTTATCTGTTTGACCCTCTAGTTTCGGCCAGTATTTATTGAATCATTTGATTTGTAACTCCTAAATCGCCGAAAATTTGATCTCAAAAACTAAATGTCGTGTTTAAAATTACAATTACATGAAATTTCAATTTACCGAATCTTACGCAAAATTACGTAAAATTACATAAAATTACTGAAATTTTACATCAAGAATTATACAGATTTACATATAGACATCACTGATCGAATATATGATTGATAAAAAATCTAGAATCTTATATCGTTATCATGAAAATCGTCTACGTAGAACAGATGCAGATCACCATATCACGGGAAATCCATCCACATAGCGATAACAAATACTGTAAGGTACAGCAGAGACAGTGCCCGATCCAAAGTGAATCCCTCTCGCTTGTGTTCAATCACAAATTAAATTATTTATGTTGGTCTCTGCTGTAACTGTAAGTATATTATTTTACAGCTGTGAACAAATCGAAGAATCGGGTAATTCTGATTAGTAAAAATTGAATGTCCGATTAGCACTGGCTTTGAAAATTCTGGAAATTTCAAGATATGGTGATCTGCGTCTGTTCACACCTTTTTGAAAACAGCTACGTATAATTTTTTAAATATTTCCTTTTTTGTTTATTTTATTCATGGTTACGTACATTTATCCGTATCCGATATTTATTTTTTATGTTACATAATACCGGGGGAATTCAAAGCGTTATACTAAAATGGCAATATATTATGGTTTGGTGGCTTAAACGACTGATGATTAGATAATTCGACGTATACGCTAAAATCTAAGCGTATTTGTGAAATCTATAACGGAGACGTTGGGAAAATCACTAACACACTAAATGAATAACGTTATCTTCAAGAAGTTAGCGTATCCGTTAGGGTTAGAGCGTAGACGTCCTGTAAAAACAAAATATATATGGCGTTCCCACAGCAAAAGCAGGTGATAGAACTATATAATATATAGATCTATCACCTACTTTTGCTATGGGTGCCCCCATATAAAGCATCCAAATTTTAATAAAGCAATGGCATGTTCTGCATGTCCTAAATATTCCTTTTATATATATCTGTAAACTTTAAAGTTATAACCCGTCTCCCTTGAATTCGACTTTAAATTTAGTAATCCATTCGAGACTCAATTCAACGGACCGAATTGGCTTGTAACTTCAAATCGGAATTGAATTAATCGCCCATAACATCACGTGACACGATCGAAGGAAGATTAAAAGATTGAACATTAACCACCGCCCCCTTGATATCAATAACCAAATTCCTTATATTTCCCCACATTTATAAATATCAATAAATTCTCTCCTCCGTAGCTATTGGGGTTAAATTGGCCCTAGTTTTTGATAACTTTATTACCCCATTCCAACGTCAATAGTTACAGTACCAGTTAGGATTACTTTTTTGATGCATTTAGGGTTAACGAATTATATAAATATCAAAAAATACAATTTATGCAATATGTAGATCATTATATGAATGTACTTGGCTTTAACAGACCCGATGATTTTTTGAGGATTATTCGCAATTTTGTGGTGTAAATAACAAATTATGCAACTTTATTGACAATCCATATGGTTCCTACCAATTTCTCGCAATTCGTGTTCATTAATTGTCTACATTTTTGACAGTTACTGATGCCGGGCCTAAATTAAATCACCCACTTTCTAAAATTAGTATTTATTTGGTTAAATTATGTGATCCTTCTATATCGATATCATTTACTATTTTCTATGGTATTCTGTGATATAGACATATTTCTGTGAATTCTGTGGTATTATGAAAACACAGAAAATCATCGACCCTGACCCCAACTTTTCGATTTTGTTATTTCTATGAATAATGCTGATTGGATATAATCAGAAAGCGTGAAGAAAATTAGTAAATGCGCTTCGTTGGAAAACTATGTCGTATATATCGTATTTAAATTAGATGTATAGCCTTTACAATAAAAGATCACAACAGTCCAACTTTCGAACGGATCAATATTAAGCCTCAAAAAAACAGTCACAGAGCCCAATTTATATTTTTTTAATTAAAATTTACCGATTAATTTGACGATTCTTCAATTCTACCAGGGAGACCTT